TAAGGTTGTCATAGTTAGCATTAGCATTTTTCCCATAGAAATGAATGAACGGTCCCCAAAAAGATATGATTACATTACTCTGTGTGTGTGTGTGTGTGTGTGTGTGCGCTCTGCAATTGACTGCCATTCCATCCATCGTATACCCCAAGCTTTGTGCCCTGTGTCACCTGCCATAGCCTTCAGGCCTCCTGTATGACCTTGTATAGGATAGATGACTGGAAGATGGATAAATGGCTGGATGTAAGGAGAATACTTAGGGCTACAAGCTCAGTCAATAAGTCACATGCCAAGATTTTACAGTCTACTGCCCATGCAGAGACACTGGCTATTTAATCAGTCAGTCGACAGGTGTGATGGCTGCACATGTGGTGTGTGACTCAGAAGACCTTCACTGTGCCGTGCTCGCCCGCCTGCCACACGTAGCCCATGGTCATCGTGCTAAGGGCCAGATGAGCCAGTCTCAGCTCTCTGTGACCCTCAAGGAAGTGTGATTCCAGCAGGGGCATCTAGGGGGAAAAGTGGCCACATGTGATTGGCTGTGCCTGGTGATTTTCAGTGGCCTGACTTTCATTTGCTTTGATCAGGTTTAGGGACAGCGACCCCTAGAGGTGCCTGAAAGAATTTCACTTGATCAAGATGAGAGAGGGAGGCTCACATACGTTTACATACTTTTTCACAGGATGTTTACAGAGATATTACTGGTATGCACAGATACACAAAAAGAAAAAAACTGGAATAATTGCATTCACCCCTGCCAGGTCAAGTCTTAAGATAAGACCTACATCCTTTATGGATTCAAGTCACTGGCAATTTCAGACAATGACCACCTCTAGGTGGTTGTTCAGTGAGGACAGGCAACAGTTACATGTGAATTACAGTGAAGGACGTGTCTCACCTGATGGACATGGGATCGCAGCGTGTGGGACTGAACGAGCTGGGGGACACTCCGGGCGATGTCCATCCAGGGTCTGTAGTAAGTTGGCAGCTCTGTCTTTTAGGACAATAACACAGACCGTTGACTATCATGTTGACTGACATTTACATTCACCTTAATTTATTTAGCAGGTGCTCTTGTCCCGAGTGACATACAAGTGTGGCAGATAATAAACGGCATAGCAACTAGGGTACAAGTGCTTCCAATGAATGACCAGTGACAAGTGTGAGATGGTTATGGGAACAAGAGCCATACAAAACACCATAGGATCTAATATCAGAAAAGCTATTCAAGTAACATCTTGAAAGTCTAGTAGGAACTAAATGTAAATACAAAAGATCATCCAGTAGTGCCAAGTGAAACCAATTGAACAGAAGAGCCAGCAAGGGCAGAGAGCTGGGGCAGTCAGTGGCAGGATGAGGTTAGTTCAGGTGTTCCTAGTACCCTGGTTCTGAAGGTTGTGAGGAATTCTGCAGAATAGAAATAGCTGAGTAGCTCTTTCCACACATGAAAAATGTCTCTTACAAGATTCGTTCTCACACTGGGAGGAATCACGCATTATATGAATTATTTCCACCTCCAACTGGAAACTCCTTTCAAAGTCATAAAAAGTCATAAACACAAGCTAATGGTAAATACACATGAGGAGGATACAGCTGCTACTCCTGAAGAGGATCCGGCTGGTCGTTTCGATGCCTATGACTTATGGCTTAACATCTCATCTCACCTTCCTACCAGTTCATCTCTGAGACTCGTGGTTGCACAGAAGCAACCTTCTCACCCACCAGAAAAATCTTCAGCTGCTCAGCCCTCAGCCTGAGACTTGTGCGTATCTTCACTCCTACCTGAGCTCTTTCACCACAGGGAACTCCAGAGTAGGAGAGACTCCAGCCCCAATTGAGGGTCCTGGGTCGAGAGTCCACATCTTTCACACTAGCTCATGCTCCTTAAACCTTGAGGGTTAGTGTTTCATACTCCAAAAGCCAGGTCTATCAACAAGGTCTAATCCTACTAGGTCCATTCTGCTGATGCCTGCTGCCCAAATGGTACCACAACTGACCCCCACCTTTCACATCTTTTGGTGGATAGCTACTCATAGCCATTTTAGGCTAAATCCAGCCCTGCTCACTGCAGAGCATCAGCCTCATACCAAGCTCCCGGTGTGGGTCCAGGCAACCATATTTCAGGCCAGGATGCACAAGATCTTCTTGGTGCCTTTCATTGGGGGTCTTTGCCAGACAGTAGTTTGCCTGGACTTTTCCCACAGACCGGTTTGTCACCACACTACAGTCACAGTCTTCAGAGGGGGGGTCAGAATGACATGTATCATATATTAAAGTATGACTTATATAAGTAAGTAAGCATTGCAGTGTTGTTGATATTCATTAAGGTACATTATTAAGGTAGATTCTAGTACCTGTCACACCTTTAATTCGTTCATTTTTATTTATTTCAAACAAACAACAAATAAAAAAAAACATTTCCACATTCTCCATCGTAATATTACACCTTTCGATTTCCTTGCTTGAAATTGATTGTTTGAAGGGTTTTACATAGACGGTGATTTAGGGAGGGGGGGGGTGCAGGTTGACATATGGCACACATGGGGGGAGGGGCGGGTAAGCAGCAGTGACCAGCACAGCAGCCCAGCATCAGGATGCAATCTGCATGCATGGTGTCTACAGGCACAATGCAAACACAAGCATTTTCCTAAAATTTGAATGTGTGGCACAGCAGCTCTGTGATATCTTTGCTGACAAGGATAAAGTTCACCCACATGACAAATACAACAGCATACCAACAATTCTGGTATCGTCTGCTGTCTTTACCTCAAGAAAGAGCATATATATCAGCGTATTAATAAATATGTGTTACAGACAGCTGGAACAAATGTGGTTTTAAACCTCCTAAAACTATATATATACACACACACACACACACACATAAAGTATTGTGTGAAAGTCTCAGGCAATCAAAAGAAATGCTTAAAGCTATTTATCTGAGTAGTAAGCGCCTATTTGCGCAGAACAAAAAGACAGAATTTAACATTAGAACACATTAGAACACAGGTAAATTCAGAGCAATACAATAAAAACTACTTAGAACTTCTTTTGTTCTCCAAGAAGTTACTGAGGTTTCGTCAGAAGGCTACATGGACACCGCTTCAGTTCCCAAACCCCTCCTCAGGGCCACCCCAGCCGTTCCGTGTGTTTATTAAATGTCATCACCAGCTCATTTAATTAAAAAAAAAAGAAAGTCAATGAGATATTGATTAGCTATACGAGGTGTAGTTGAGTAAAAAAAAAACATGGGTGTATTGTATGGTTGCTGCAAATACGGGGGTGATTTCAGCTGAGGTTTTGCAATAGCTAAGCTGACACACTTTGACAGGCATAATAACATAGTTCTACAACAAAATGATCATCATTTAAACATCATTTTCTTTGGCTGCCTAAGACTTTTGCACAGTACTGTATATATATATATATATATATATATATATATATATATATACACACACACATATATACACATATACACATGTACGTATGTATATACATGTGTCTGTGTGTGTAGATTATGTTTTTCAGGTCCCCACAAAGATCTGTGACTGCAATCAAAAAACTAATAATGCCAAAAACCTCGTATTTAGTTTGGTTACTTATGGGTAAGGTTAGGGCTGGGTAGGGGTTAAGGTCGTCATGTTGAGATTAGAGATTTCCCCATAGAAATGAATGAAGAGTCCCCACAAAGATATAATTACAAACCTGTGAGTATGTGTGTGTGTGTGTGTGTGTTATTGTGGGGGTGTTTGAATAGACAGGCTTAAGGTATGACTTTAGCCTGGCTTCAGACTGCTGTACTTTTTAAATTACCAACAAACCAGCAGCATATTGTTAAAGCTGATTATCTTACTTCATAACTGCCTGCTTTCCATTGTTCACTTTGGGGTCCATTAAACTCCATTATATCATTTTACTACAGTTTTCAAGGGTCTTGGATTCATTTTCCAGTTTTTCCTCATTTACATCCAGTTTTTTTTTGCCTCTATTTTCTCCAGGGCTTTTTGGCTGTTATTATAAGTGCCGTTAAAGTAGAAATGTAATGCGTTGGCCTATATCTTTTTAACTTTTAGAAGATCTCATAAACACTGCAGCAAACAGGTTACAGTAGAGCTGCGGCTGGGAGGAACTCGCACCGTGCCGTGCTGATACTTTTTTCACTGCTCGTGAGTTAATGACAAACCTCGCTGAAAGGACTTCCACCAACTTCTGCTCTAAAACTTAACATGAAGATTAAACAAAACCTTTATGCTGTCCCATTAAGAATTTACTAAGGCTGACAATCCGATTCATTCTGGAATTAACAAGACGCGCAAAGCCATCAACCCATTTAAAGGGGATTTTCAACAAAAAACAGAGCAGTGGTAAATGCACAAAATGCACAAAAGGGTCAAATTTCAGCGAAGCCTCCTGGGGGCAGCAGTTTGATAAGAGGGAAATATGACGGACGCATCATGAAGACGGTGACGTTCTGGTCCTCCTTACCTGTGGGGCAGGCAGGATGAAGCCACACTCCTCGGAGACGTGGTACGCACTGAGAGAGAAGGGCCGCCATGGGAGGGCCATGCTGGGGGCCGCGCACGGTCCCTGCTGCTGAGGAGCACGTTCCAGACGGTGTGAGGGAGGCACAGGCCGCCGGAGAATCTTTACGCTGGTGACCCCATCTACACCCATCCGAGTCCCACCAGCAGGAAAGTCAGCGTGTCAATAACACAAGTCCCAACACCGCAACCCCCCTCCCCCATTACACAACACCTTACCTTTAGTCACAAACTTTACACAGTTATCTGCTAAACTAGAAATGCCGTCCTCAGGGGCAAGGGTTCAAGGCAGTCAGCTGGGGAGGCATCTGACCGGTGATAACTGCTCCAGCTGATGCAGTGCAGCACAGCTATATGGGCGCCACTGCAGATCCTGGGCCATATGAAAGCACATCTTATTGGTCCCCAACCCAGACCAATCCGATTATGTTCGAAATTTTTTAGGGCCGCTGTCACTCAGGGGACCTTGGACTCATCGGAAACCCCCCCCCCCTTTTTACAACACCTTTGCAGCTACATTTTCAACCTGTCCAGGAAAGAGAGACAGTGAAAAAGCTACACAGGCCTCTATTAAAATGCTTCACCTACTATGACTGGACGTCTGTCTTCTGGTGGCCTGCAGTTATATCCATCTTTATGTATTACCTGGTGTCCTAGGATAGCCTCTGGAGCAGCAAACCCTCACAGCTATTTACACTGCATTTATTTATTTAGCACAACAGGGCCAGCCAGTCCCTGGAGGTCTCGGGGTTAGGGGCCTCGCTCAAGGGCCCGATGCTGACATCACTGTCACCTTCCAATCATGGGCGCGGACCCTCACGCCACCCTCTTTAGCGAATGGCTAATTATCGGATGAACCGACAGTTAAATAAATATAGCTAGCATATGTTCGCTAATTAAACCATAACTGTCAATGCTATATCACCATTATTAGATTGATAGCGATTAAAAGGCTGAGGTTAATGTGATGCTTTAGTGGTCACGGCTCAGGCTTGCCACGTCCGGGGATGTGGGTTTGAATCCCCTGAGTGTGACCCGCGATGCACTGGCGTCTCAGCTGCTGTGCCTTCTTCACCATGTGTTTTGGGATAGACTGCAGGCTTACCGCAAACCCGTACTTCATGAGCAGTGAGGAAGATGGATGGAAAATACAATAATGTTTGGTCCATCACAAACATGCAGAGATGTTTTACAATTTTTTCGGTGTTAAACAGCAGAATAACCTCTGTTGCCAGTGAGTCACCAGGCATTCTGTCATGATATAGCTAATCTATAACATTCATCTTTGTATCTTAGAGATGAAGACTTTATAAAAACATCTATGGCATAAAAAAATTAAAAAGCTATTTACTGTGAAGCACATTGGTAACAATATAGGAGAAAAGCCTTATTATACATTTACAAGGTCACACGTTTATAGTAAATCGTATAATTACCGCAGTGGAAGTGAGCTACCAAGAAACATAAAGCATGACAGTGATGTATTGCCCCCTACTGGTACCCAATATACCTTTACAGTGACAGTGACAAGCAGATTTACATTCATAGGTTGGGTGTTAAAAGCACAAAAAGGGTACCTAGTATGCAGAAAAATAATCCTGCTTGCATTATAATGCTGACATTTTATAATGCTGACATTTATTCCTAGACTTCATCCTTTTATTATTGCATATGCATTCCTGAATGGCAAAGAGATTATTCCATGAAAGAATGTTGCACATGCTTCTCTATTGTCACTGCGTATTGCACATCTATGCTCTCATTATCTATATTCTGATCTCAGACCCTTTAGTAATGCAGTTGGAGCCTTAGCTTTGCAGTTTGCTGTACGACACTGGGGTCTAAAAACACATCAGGATGCCAACAGCGTCCACAGCTTTTCATTATTTCCAAGTGCACAGCTGACATCACTGTACAGTGTTCTGCTGCATAACCACTGACCTGTACAATGAATTTTCTTTCATTTGTACAGTTGGCAATTGTTTGCTCCCTTTCGAAGTGCTGGCAATTTCATTTACACGGGGAGAACAACAGGGGGTGTAGTTGTGTACAAATTCTCAGTTTCACATGATAAGTAAATACAGGGCTCACCCCGTTCCAGACCCGGAAGGTCAGAATCCGACACAGTTTGCAGATTTCCCTGCTCAGACACACCTAACTAAACCTGATAATTAGCTGATTAGCTGAGTCTGAGCAAGGAAATGTGCAGCCCGCACTGGATTCTGGGCCTCCAAGAGCGGACGCGGGGAACCCCTGGGTTAAAATGTACAGCTACATTGTACAACTGAATGCATACAGCAGAAAGGGAGGGTGAAGAGGTTGGGCCATGTAGCAGTCAGAGGTGCCACTAGAGATTTTGGGCCCCTGTCACTCAGGGACCCTTGGAATCCCCCCCGGAAGGGTATGAATCTGTGCCTATGGTCAGAATGTTGTGGGTTCAAAGCGGGAGGCCAGCAGATTAATCACGACTGAGCCCTTGAGAAAGGTCCTTATCCTCAGTGTCTCCAGGGACCTCGACTGGCCCTGCACTCTGACACCAGAAGTTCCTCTTATCTGTATAGACGGTACATAGAGAGCAGGAAGTGACATCAAAGAATTCCTACGCACAGGCAGTCCCTGGGTTACGAACAAGATCCGGTCCCTAAGTCTGTCTATAAGTTGAATTTGTAGGTAAGTTGGAATATTAATAATAGAATAGTACATAATAATAATCACACAGTAGTAAAAGTAATGGCATATGTTACTGTACGGTACCTCAAGCCGATTAACCACTGAAGCCACACAATGTTTTCATTCAAAGTAGTATATGGGTTCATTATTACAAACCACTGCATTTAACCCAAATTTTGAACACAATAGGCTCTATGGCAGTCAGTTTGAAAGTATGAGTTGTCCAGAAGTCAGATGCCCTTAACCCAGGGGCTGCCAGTATTGCAAATGAAGCATCATACTGTACTTTCATTTCCTGATAGGCTAAGCACTAAAACAGCTAAGCTGCACGATCTAAGTGCTTCTGAATGTTTCGCCATTTTTAGACGTCTCACATACAGCCTCCCTCCTGGGATTATCACACAGTACAGTGTGTGGAGTTTACAGGGAATGGTGCGATTTACAAAAAAACCATCCAGTCAGGGACAGCTCTGTGGGCAAATAAACACCCCAGTAATGAGAATGGTCAGAGGAGGACGGCCGGGCTTGTTAATGCTAGCAGGAAGGTCACAAGTGCAAAAATAACAGATCAGTACCACAGTTGTGTGCAAAAAGGCTTCACTGAATGCAGCACTCATCAACCCTCAAAGCTGTTCTGGAGGCAAAAGTGGGTCCTAGCAGGTATCGGTTTGCCGTTCTTGATAAAATGGTCAGTGAGTGTAATGCTGCTGTACATTGCGTTCCTTCCCACAGTCCTGGCAGGATGGCTCAACTGCACCACAACCCCACAGCAAGAAAGACGAGAAAGGGCGAATGGACTGGGTCATATCAGCTGGCGACAGACAACTGCACAGATATACACGTAGCTTGATGTTTTCGTCTGCAGTGAAGTCAGCATCCCTGTGGAGGAAGAGTGGAATGAAACATGAAGAAAAATGATGAGAAGAATATCGTAACTAGATATAAGCACCGGGACGCCCAGTGCCCAGCAAAGATCTCCCGAAAGTGCACCGAGTGGAAACGCTGACTCAGAATCTCCTCAAGGCCACGGCTTGGGTTCTAGTCTGCATGCCCTTGTATCATAACATTCTCATTTTGAGAAACATATCAGAGAACCAGGATGTGCTCCAAATGTGGGCACTGCATAAATGTGATATCTGTGAAAACGAGAGCAGCTTTCCGGAGGCGGATCCCGGAGTGTAGGTACTGGGGAGCATGTGTACTCCCCAATATTTAAATTGGCATTATTTGTCCCCCCACCTAATAAAAAGACCTTTACATTTAAATTATTCAGTTGTCCCCCCCCCCTAACTCCCTCCTACGCCCTTGGGCCGATCCTGCTAAGGGCATCTTCTAAGGCAATGCTGACTTAGCAAACCACAGGCACCCGACCATCTCAGGGCCCCAGGTAACGATTTGGATTTGGAAGGAGCATCGCCACTCCCCAGTTCTCCCCGCTGACAGATTGTACCGTTGCCACACAGCCCAGCCCCCATTGGCAGCGAGGTGTGCACTGCATGGGCTTCAACGGCTACTGCAGTCTCCTAACCCAAAGAAGTACTCGGGGGG